AAGTCTCAGAATCCTTGCCTCCAAGAAGCAGTCCGGTTTAACCCTCTCCAGAGGATGAATCTGTTTTTTTAGCAGTCCATGGTACCCTCAATACTCCTCTTCAACACCAAAGCTCAAAGACATCAATTCTCCTTCTATCCTCCCTAGTCATTGTTCAACTCTCTGATGCATTAACAAGTGATTGCAAAGACCATGGCCTGTATCAGATGCACCTTAGTCTCCAGAGTGACACCATTGCTCTTTAGTCCTTTGAGAGGTCCCTAACAGCAGACTTTCCCATTGCAATACGTCTTTTAATTTCCTGGCTGCTGGTGCCAAGAGTATTGATTGTGGAGCCAAGCCGACTAAAGCTGTGAACAATCTCAATCTCTTCACCATCCATTCTGATGTTGCCATTTGGTCCAGTTGTGAGAATCTTTGTCTTCTTGATATTGAGCCTCAATCCATATTGAAGGCTACAGTCCTTGACCCTCTGCAGCAAGCACTTCAGGTCCTCCTCAGTTTCAGCAAGCAGAGTTTCATCATCTTCATAAAGCAGATTGTTGATAGATCTTCCACCAATACTGATGCCGCATTTCTCCTCATAGAGCCCAGCCTCCCAGATAATCTGTTCTGCATACAGGTCAAAAAATGTATGGAGACAGGACACATCCCTGGCGTATGCCCTTCCCAATTTTGAACCATGCAGTGTTTCCTTGCTCTGTTCTGACGACTGCCTCTTGGTCCCAAAATTCGAACTGAAGTTGAAGACAATGAAAACAAGTTCATGAGAGTAAAAATAAAAAATACAACTTTGAGTTTATTCCACTTGAATTTACATACATATTAAAAATAGACTTGATGCACTCAACACAAATAAACAGAGACCAGATGATGACTTTTGGGATGACAACAAGGACATCATGCATTAAGAAAGCAAAAGTTTTAATTTCCTGAGATCTTACTGCTTGTCACTTGAATCTTGTAGCTGTCATACATCTCTGATATAAGCACCACTTGATTTTTGAAGTGTGTAAACCATCTCTTCATATTTTTCAAGATGTAATTTTACATTTTTGCATTTTAAAGCAGTTTGGCCACAATTTTAGATGCACGCTTCTAATTCATGTACCTGCACTTGTGAACTTTGTGAACAAAAATTTGCATGTATACTGTGTTTACTTGTAAACTCTCTGCTTAAATACTGCTTATATCTGTGGTTTCAAGTTACTGAAGTGAATACCAATAAAAAAAGCTAGGCCAAAAAAAAAAAAAAGAAAGCAAAAGTTAATTAAAAAGACAAGAAAGAGTCAAAATGGATATCAGAAGAGACTCTGATATTCAAAGTAGAGATGCTAAAGAAAAAAATGAAAATTATAAGAGAGCTGAATAGAAGTTGTCAAGACAGTTCATGAAGACAAAGCAAAATATAACAAAACATACAAAGAGTTGGAGCTGGAAAGCCAAAATTGAAGAAGATGTTCAGCATTTTTCTAGCTGAAGAAACTGAAGAGTAAATTCAAATCTTGAGTTTCACTACTGAAGGAATCTATGAGAAAAATGTGAAATGATGCAGGAAACATTCAAAGAAGATAAAGGGAATACACAGAAGTCACTATATCAAAAAGAATTGGTCGACACTGAACCATTTCAGGAAGTAGCATATTATTCAGAACTAATGGTAATGAAAAAAAGAAGTTCAAGCTACACTGAAGCCATTGGCAAAACATAAACCTCTAAGAACTGACTGGATATCAATTAAGATGTTTCAACAAGCAGATGCCATCCTGAATGCACAGTCCCAGACCACCTATGCTAAGACATTTAGAAGACAGTCACCTGGTCAACTGACAGGACGAGATCCAGATTTGTGCCCATTCCAAAAGCAGGTAACCGACGCAAAAGAATATAGAAGTCATTGTACAATGTAGTTAATAGTGTATACAAGTAAAAACCTTAGAAGTTCTAAAAAAAAAAAAATAGCTGCAAGAGTACACTGACAGAGAACTGCCAGAAATTCAAGCTGAATTCAGAAGTGGCCGTGGAATAATGTCTAATATCTGCTTTATTTTGTTTTCTAAAACTATAATGATATTAATTACATACAAATACACTCTCCTGAAAGAAAAAGAAAAGCCCAGGGGAGGCTGTACTCCCTTCATCTTGGTTTTGTTTCTTTTTTCTAGAGAAAATGAGATGAGGTGATAAAAGGCATTGATCAACAGTAATTAATTATATAAAACATAATGTAGATGATTAATTGTATAAAACACAATATGCATGAATGAAGCCCAATGTATATAAATGATTGTATAAAACAATACAACAAAATAAAGCTGCTTCATACTCATACAGGATTTCAGTAGAGAGCACAGCTACTTAAGTAATCTTCAGGTTGTGTTTGTATGTTTTATATAAGTCACAAGTTACCGCTTAAATTATTCTGCAACTTACATATTTTGCTCAATAATACATATTTAAGATTGCCCTGTATTCATAAATATGTATCTTGTTAAATTTGTCAGTGAGGACTTTTCTAGAATCATGTGATATCCTATCATGCGAATCCTTCATATTTTATTTTATCCATGTCACAGTGATGAACTGTTGTTTTCTTTTTAAAGATTTTGTCAAAACACTGTGGGTAATACTTGTGTTCTTGCCATTTTAGGCTTTTTATGCTTCTTCTAGAGGTGTATTTATCAATGGAGGTGCTAGGGGCTCAGCTATGCATACTTCCAATGCAAATGGAACCGAGGCTACCTTCCCAGTGTAACAAACAATATAACTGAGCACTGAAGCCTTCCCCATCACCCTCAAAGCAAAACACCAAACCTCCTGCCATTGAGCCAATCCCCTCTAGCAGTCTAGCTGAGCACTGAAGGGTTTCACTTATCCTCACCCTCAATCAATCAATCAAATAATAATAGCTCGAACCCACTACCACAGATTCCGTTTATGGTGACTGGGTCTGTGGATCCTCTTGGCCGGTGACTGCTTAATCCTGAGAAATGGCTGGTGGATTTAAACTGCGAATCTTCTGATCCACAGTCCAACACACAGTGCACTCTCAGCTGCACTTAAAATCTTTGTTGCTTTGAAAATCTTTGTAATAATACCCTTATTTCTACTTCCTTGATCTCTAGTAAGGTTGCACTCATACTGTCTGGGTTTAAGATCCTTTTCCCACTGTGCCTCGGTGGGATCTTCTAATCTTATTGGTAATTAGTGGGATTGGTAGGTGACCATCAGAGTCCTTCATTTGTCTTTTACTTGAAATTTGGTACTGCCTTTAGAGTTAGAACAACTTCAGGGAGTTCTGGGCATCTCCCTTTGTCTTATAAAGATGCTCCATTTTTGGGGGGATGGTCTTTGACATTGTGCTTGAGAGAAGTGAGATACCCACTGAAAATACACTAAGCCCTTGAGACCCATCAATATTATTTGGAAGAGGACATTCTAGCTTTGTGGGACCTGATTTATATATTTTTAAAAAACATAGATTATTTTCCAAGAATTTTTAGATGTACAGAAAAATTATATAGTGGTTAAGAAAAAGTCAAGTAGTTCATATTCACCAGCCAGTCCATAAGAAGAAGATGAGCCGATCTGTCTCCCTAAAGACTGTAGGTTTGGAAACTCTATAGATCCGTTCTACAGTCCTAGAGACTTTGAGTCAGAATTGACTTACTCTAAGGTAGATCCATCAGTACATATTTCTCACAAAAACTGAAGCCCATAATTAACATAAGTGTTCACTCTTGGAGATATATAGGCCTATGGGTTTTAACAAGTTCATAACGTCATATGTCTACTCTCCCAATACCCTGCGGAATTGATTCACCGTCCTAAACATGCCCTGCGCTCCACCTGCCCATCCCTCCCCGCTGCTCTGGCCCCTGACCACTGATGTCATCACTGTCCCCTTACACCTTTCCTAGAATGGGACCTGGCTTTTATTGTTTGACTTCATGGTGGTTGTCCAATGATTGGGAGCTCTGGGTGGTGCAAATTGTTAAGTGCATGATAGCAAGTTGAACGAAACGTGGGTGGTTTGAATCCAGTGCAGAGCAGAAGCCTGGCAGTTCGCTTTTGAGCAATCACAGCTACTGAATATGCACTGTGGCATATGGCATCACTCTGGGGTGAAATCCACTCAACAGTAACTAATAACAACAACATCCCGTTATTAGAGTATGGGGATTTCCCGTCCAGGAAATCACTATGGTACTAGGTAGTACATTTGGGCTGGACTGAGTTTAAGTGCAGAAACCCAAGGTTCATGACAGTGTGGTCTTTGGTGAGAATGTCACTGAGAAGTCAGGGCAAAGGAGCCTCCTGGAACCCAGACTCATCTCCTCATTTCACCCCCATGGCCAGGGGCTCTTTAGAGGATAAAGACACCTCAGGACAATTTCCTACCCCAGTAAACCCTCTCTCCCAGGGGTTGCTGAAGATTGGAGAGTCTTTTCTGCCAAAATAGCAAAAAGGCTCATCTCTATCTATCCAATAAATAAGCACAAACCTTTTTCTTCTCTGACACTCAGAATTTGGATTGAATCAGAATTTTAAGAGAAGTCAACTTTATTCAAGTTCTTTTGTTTCTCCTTTTTTAAAAATTTCAATATTTATTCTTTGTTATTAATTTTAATCAAAGTTTACAGTTAGGATTTCCGTTCATTCACTGTTACACTTTTCTCCCTGCCCATTCCTCCCCTCAATTCAGTCTTCCCTTTGAAAAGTAGAAGAAAAATTCTTTCACTGTTACACAATCCCTCCCCTCAAGTCCACTCCACTGTGCAGCCTTCATTCTGGACTCCTGTCACGATAATCCGACTGTCTTTCTGCTTTCTTCCCTGAGTGCTGGCTGTTTTACTTTCACAGTGCCTCCCATGCCCTTCCCACCCAGAGGGAACCAATTATGTCCCAGCTCTTCCCTTGGGCAGTAGACATCTCAACATCTAGGGTAGTTTATAGTTTAAGAAAGCACTCCCGAGTCAGTAAAGCCAAGCCCCACTCACCAGTCTGAAGCCTCTTCTGCCGTTTTTCTTCCTGTAGCTGCCAGAGCTTTGAACCTACAAAAATTGGAGGACAAGGGACATTCAGAGCTCAATCCTCTACATTCCACATCAGAGAAAGGAAGAGACAAGCAGTTGAGGTTCTACAGCACATCAGACCTCAGGGTGCTCTGGGGAGGCTGGGCTGCCACCCTTCTGTAGCTGGAGCAAGCTTGCCCAGGTTTCCATCCTCCATGGGCCACCATCATGCTGTCTTGACAATTTAAATGTAATCACTCTCCAGTCATTTTCCTTCCTGCATCCTTCTCCTGCAGACCTTTGGGTGATATCAGGGGCCTGGTGGACAGACATCTGCCCACTCTGTAATCTCTCCTACTCATCCCTATACTGTCTACCCCTCACCCCTACCCTATGAATCTCCTTGAGGATGCTGGAGTTCCCTGTGCTGATGCACATTATTGGCACATGTGTTTCCTACCCAAAGGGGCCCTGTCCCCGTGCTCCACTAGGATCCACAGAATTTTCACTAACTGATGGGTGGAAGTAGATCATAAGGCCTTTCCTTTTAGTTCATCTTAGTCTGGAAGATCCACTAAAACCTGCCAACTATGGGTGACCATGCTGATGTGTGAAATGCCAATGGTATAGTTTCAGCATCACAGCAACAGGTGAACAACCATAAAAGGTTTAGCAAGAACAAGGAAAATCCACAACAAGAGAGTGACGCAATAGTTGTGATGATGGGTTCAAAGAAATCAGGATCAGGAAGATAGCTCAGGACCAGGCAGTGTTTCTCTATGTTATGCATATGTTCATAATTTACCACACCAACTGGATGCCGATCAAAACAACGACTATCTCAATGTACCAGCAGGGAGATTTTACTAATACCCTGAAGCTCAGCACACACATGGTCTCCTCTGGGACCCCAGGGAACTCTTCAGAGAATCCCCTAAACCCAGAAAGAGTTGGTGTGTAGTCTTCTCCTTTGTTTCTCTCTCCTGTGGAATCCCTGGGTGATACAAACATTGAAATTCTCAACTACTAATGGACAGGTCGGCAATTCGAATGCACACAGAGGCTCTGACTATGACAGAACTGGTGAAATGCTCCTAGAAGCACACAGCCTTGCAAACACTGTGGGACAGTTCTGCTCTGCACACAGGGAGTGGCCAGAATCACCTAAATGACAACCAACAGCCACACAGATGTTAGATTCCCATCATATACATGTTCCTGATGGTTCCCACCACTTTAGCTTGTGTGCACACACGTGGGCCGTATTAGACCCAGTTCCTTATGGATTCACTTCCCAGTGAGTTGCTTGAGGCAAGCTGTGTCTAGTCAATCACTATGACCCGGTGTGAACCAAACCAAACAGAATAGAAGGAAAACGGCTAAGGCCATTTCTCCAGTCATCAACCACTGGGCAGTGTGTCCTACTGTGGAGGTTTGTATATTGTGAAACTGGAGGTTGTGTGATCGGTATTTCAAATACAAGAAGAGTCAACAGTTTTAGTGGAGTTTCAAAACTAAGGTGAACTAGGAAGAAAGGCCTGGAGAGCTACTTCTGAAAACCAAACAACCAAAACCTCAAATGTGGAAAACAGAATGTTGTTCAATGTCATGCCGGACGATGGGCCCTTAGGTTAGACGTCAGACCACAACAGCTGCAACAATGGACTCAAATCTGCCAATAAGTGTGAAGATGGCACAGGATCAGGCTGCACTTTGTTCTTCTTTACACGGTGCTGCCATGGGTCAGAGCCTGTTCAAGGGCAATTAGAAGCAATTGACTCAGAAATCAAGGCTGAGCCTAGCTCGAGTTGGTGAGGAACACTATCAATGGTAGGGTTGGAAAAGACCAATGAGGATGTGGCTACCTGGCGAAGTTTCCATTTTAAGGGATGCCTTAAAATTAATTTTCCCTACCCTTGGTGGTCTAGTGGCAAGAAGCTGTGCTATAATCCCAAAAGCATATGGTTCAAATCCACCAGCTGTCCACGGGGGAGGGATGGACAATCTCCTCCCATGTGATTTACTGCCTCTGAAAACCTACTGAAAGGTCAGCTATGGACCATTTCTGACTCAATGGCACATAACAATGACGTGTTTAATATTTAGATTAGCGAGTATTTGTTTTGGGTTTTTTTTCTTAAACTCTTTTAAAATTATTTTCATACAACCATTTCTATACATTATTATGCTCTATAAAATTAAACGCAGTCGATCAAAGCCTTTTATTACCACGTCTCATCAAATCCTCACTGCACCTTGCCTTTTCCTTCACCCTCCCCTCATCCATCTTCCACTCTGTAAAGTAGCAGGGGCTTTGACTGAGCACAAGTCCATGTGTTAGCACCAGAACAACCCGCAACATACAGAGCGGGAGTAAGAAGCTGTGTGAGCTGCGTTCAAGCCTTGGCCTTAGTGACTCCCCTCCCTGAGCCTCAGTATTCATGCCCACCACATGGACTGGGAGGATTAGAAGAAAGGAACTGGTCCAGTGGCCCCGCATGGTCTCCAGCTCACAGCAGACAGTGCACACGCACAATTCCTGTTCTAACACTCTGCTGGCTTACAGGAAAATGTCAGATCAGAGTCCATTTGCCAGCAAGTCACAGAAACTACAACAATGGCTGCAAAGTCCTGAGTGTGAAGGCGAGGAAAGGGATCTGGTTTCAAAGATAATTTCATCTGATCTGGGCTAGGCCTTATTATACAGTTTAAGGAAAGTGTGTTGTTGTCATTGTTAGGCTCCTTCAAGTTGGAACCTACCCATAACTCACCCTCTATCAGGTTTTCAGAGGCAATAAATCACAAAGAGGAGATTACTCATATTCCTCCCATGAGACAGCTGGTGGGTTCGAACTGAAGGCCTTTGTGTTGGCGGTGCAACTACTTGCCACTAGGCCATCACAGCTTTGCATAAGCTACATTAGACTGTATTTCTGATATATTTCCACATACAAATGAGCAGTTGAAAATAAGTAAATATGAAAATTAGTTTAATGTGGAATCTGGAACCAACATGAGTCTCACCACTCACTGATTTTAGGGGAATTGTTCTTTCTTTATGAGTGATAGATCCTAGGAATCAACGTTCCTAGACTGTGCTAACGCAGTCCTGTGATTTCATAACCTTTTCATTTCATGATCCAACAGTCACGAAATTTTCTATGCGTGAACATGGCTACTCAGTGGACTCCCACCACAGAGACCCACTGGACTTTGAGATCTTGTGAATCAGGATCTAAAACACCATAAAATACCAGCCCCAGAGTCACTGAACTACATGCAAAAAGACTAGCCAGGCCCAGAATTCTTCCAAATTCTGAGACACAGGATGGCCACAGTAATAATTAGCATCAACTTCCCCAAATCTCAGGGTGCTCTGATCATCTAGCCAGCAGAGTTTGCACTTAAAGATCATCCCCTTTGTGGAATGCCGGAAAGGCCTTGTTTTCAGACAATACTTTGCACTGCAAAGTGTACCCTCTTCCACAGGAAGTTAGCACTCTGAGCTGCATGTATACTGTGGGTGAGCTGTGGCCAGGCTGCAGAGGGTCTGTCTCCACAACAGCTAGTCCACAAGGCTCCTGCCCGCGGCAATACTCACGCTGTGTGCGCTGGGAAGCCCATCGCCAGCAGGGGCTCCAGGAGCAAGGAAGCCCTGCGGCCCTTCAGCTTGTTGGAGATCTTGGCATAGAGCTGCGTCTCACTTGCTGCCATCTCTTCCTGCACTCAGGGGGTGAGGTTTGACTTGCAGCTCAAAATCAGTAGATAAAGGAGAGACTGAGAGGGAGGAGAAGCTGAGGCTGTTAAGAGAAAACCTCAAGCCCTTTTTGATCTTTCTGACAAAAGCTAATATCCTGTTTGCATGCGGTATTGGTTTTCAGAACTTTCTTTGCAGAATATTGGAGTATATCGTTACCCACACTAAATCGTCCCACAAGGCTTTGGTTCAGAAAGTCCAGCTGAACTTCTGCCTGGGGTTAGCGTTGACATTGACTTAGCCGCATTTGGGGCAAGTCTGCATGAGAGTAGGGTGTGAAAGTGAGCAGTCCTGAGCAGTGAGCAGTGGAGGGTTCTCCACTGAGTCTCTGGGGCCACATGACCTTGGTAGATTGGGTCTGAATCTCCATATCTGCAAACAGAATGTTAAAGGAAAAAAAATATAAAAGTATCATTAAGTTGACTCTGACTGGTGGAGACAACATGTGTGAAACTGAAACCAGACTCCTTAAGATTCTCAAGAACTGTAGTTTTTAGAAGTAGAGTTCCAGTTTTTCTTTTGTGTACCTCTGAGTGAACTCAAAACTTCAACCTTTTGACTAAGTTTGTTGAACATTTAATATCAGGGAAAGCTCCTTCTCAATATTAGCTTTAAGCTTTTTGGTTCTTTTTGTTATCCATTGATTTCCTACTTTTTTAAAAAAAAAAGGTATTAGATTTTTAAAAAAATATTATCGTTTATATGCCCAAAAGCGGATGCAACATTCACACACAATTTCATTAATTCACAAAGTGAGTTCACACATCTAACTTTCTCTAGGAATAACAATCAAACACTGATCCACTGGAGGTGATTTTGCCCTCAGATACATCTGGGAGTGTCTAGAGGTGGTTTTGACTGTCACAATTGGGGTGGGGTAGAAGGCAAGCAAAGCAGGTACCTTGGTGAGGAGATGCCAGGGATACACAAAGGTCAGTGGTGCTGATGCTGAGAAACTCTGCTCAGAAAGAGCACAGCCAGCATCTCAGAAGCACATCACCTCCTCCTAGTTATTTCCTCCCCTCGCCACAGGGGCAACCACTGTGCTCATAAGGACATAGATTTCCCCCTCCCCCCCATTATTTAACCTTACATAACTAAGATTGTACCCTGTGTCTTCTCTCAAGTTGGGTTTCTTTTGCTCCAAATTATGTTTGGGAGACATATCTAGGTTATCACAACCCTATCATCGCTTTGTAGGGCTTTATTGGGTGTTCCCCCCCACTTTTGTTCTCTCGATAAATGATAGATAGTTAGACAGACAGACAGACATATATACATTTTCTTTTAACTCACTCTATCCATGAAGTTTCATTTGACATACTTTGGGCATGTTGCAAGGAGGGACCATTTCTGGGAGAGAGACATCATGCTTGGCAGGGTGGAGGGACAGAGCAAGAGAAGAAGACCCTCAATGAGATGGACTGGGGTAATGAGAATAGCTGTGTCAGAGAGAATAAAGTTGGCACAGAATAGAGCAGGGTTAAGGGCTATTGTACATAGGGTAGCTATGAGTCGCAGGTGACTCTATGGCACCTAATAACAATCCATGAAATTCTGTTATGATTCCTTTTAGAGTGATCAGAGGTTGTAGCTGGGTACCTTCTAGATCTTCTGGTTCTCAGGGCTGTAAAAGTTGAAATACTTGTGATGCATAAGTTCTTTGGACTAATAGCTTCTGTGTTTCTTTGTTTTCTTCCTTCTTCTTTGTTCTAGACAAGGATATATCAATAGCTGCACCTCAGATGCCTTCACTGTAATCATTCTTTTTTCAAAAAAAGAAAATGTTTATTTTATACTGGTTTACTTACAAAGGTCATATGCATTGTTTTCATACCACATCTTTCCCATTTCCATTAACCACCCCTCCTCTTACCCATCAAATTGTGCGACCCTGTGATTAACACCCCCTCAACCCATCCTCGTCTTCCTGCTCCCACACAGCCCTTCGATCTTCATACTTATTCTACAATAATGGTCTTAAACAGTATTTGTCCTTATGAGACTGAGTTAGTTCACTTTACATAATGCTCTCCAGTCCCTCCCAAGTTAGGCAATAATTTACAAAATCATTGTTCCTGTGTGTTGTCTAATAGTAGTATTCCATTGTGTGAATGTACCATAATTTCTCAATTCATTCAGTTGTGGTTGGACATTTGGGTTGTGACGGTGAATAATGCTGCTATGAACATTGGTCTACAAGTCCCCATTTATGTCTCACTTCTTATCTTCTCAGAGTATATTCCAAGCAGTGGAAGAGCTGGATCATATGGAATTTATATGTTCAAATTTTTGAGGAAGTGCTGAACTGCTTTCCAGAGTGGTTGTACCATTTTACAATCCCACCAACAATGTGTAAGAGTTTCTATCTCACCACATCCTTTCCAACATTTATTACTTGTTGTCCTGTTAAACTTTGTCACTGCTACTGGAATAGCAATGACATAATATCTCATTGTGGTTTTGATTTGTGTCTCTCCTACTGTCAGTGATTTTGAGCATTTCTTTATATGTTTGTTGGCCATCCAAATATCTTCCTTTGAAAATTCTTTCCATGTCTTTGCCCATTTTGTAATTCGGTTATAAGTCTTTTTCTTGTGGAGGCCCTGTAAGATTCTGTAAACTTTTGATAGGAGACCCATGTCTGAAATGCTATTGTCAAATGTTTGCTCGCAGTTAGTAGATTTTCTTTTTAATCTGTTTGAAAATGTTTTTGATGCACACAGGGATTGAATCTTTAGAATTCATTCCTTCTATCAGTCTTATCCTCTCCAGATTGTGCATTTCTGACTGTATTTGGCAGTCTTTTATACCACAGATGTGGCCATCTAAACTTGATCCCTGTTTGTCTCTGATGAGCTTTAGGGTTTTGGGCTTTACTCACAAGTCTTTGATCGACGTCAAGTTGATTTTTGTGGATGATGTAAGATGTGGATCCTGTTTCAGCTTTCTGCAGGTAGTTCAGTTTTGCCAGTACCATTTGTTGAAGAGGTTGTCATTTGATGGGTTTTATTTTCTTGTTGACTATCAGTTGATCATAAATATATGGGTCTTTTTCTGGATTCTCAATTCTGTTCCATTGGTCTATGTGCCTGTCATTGTATCAGTACCATGCTATTTTGGTTACGACCCCTGTGCAGTAAGTTTTAAGGTCAGGGAATGCTATGTCTCCCACTTCACTTTTGTTTTTCAGAAGAGCTTTGCTTATTTGGGGCCTCTTTCCTCTCTAAATAAATTTGACAATTTCCCTTTTAATATTGAAAAATGAATTTGGTATCTGTATTGGGATTGCATTGAACATTTAGATTGCTTTTGGTAGGAGTATCATTTTCACAATACTGAGTCTTCCTATCCATGTAGCCAAATTGTTCTTTGGAGGCAGGAATGAGACTTCACCTCAAATACTTTGAGCATGTTGTTGGCAGAGGTTATTCCTTGGAGAAGGGTATGATGCTGGGAAGGGTTGAGGGGAGCAAAGAAGAGGAAGACCCTCAACCAGATGGTTTGACACGGTGACTGCTGCAATGGGCTCTAATGTGTCAGGAAGTGTGAGGATGGTGCAGGATAGAACAGGGTTCAGATCTTTTGTTCATAGAGATGCTATGAGCTGTACTCGACTTGACTATCAAACAATAACAACAACAACAATCCATAAACAGGACACATTTTTCCATTTATTTAGGTCTTTTATTGTGTCTTACAGAAATGTTCTCTAGTTTTCTTTGTATAGGCCTTCTGTGTTTCAAATTAGGTTCATTTCCAATTATCTCACTTTGTGTTTGACTATTGTAAATGATATTACTTTCTTGGTTTCCTTCTCTGAGTTCTCTTTTTTACTGTAGAGGAACCCCACTGGTTTTTGGATATTGACCTTATATCCTGCCATTCTACTAAATTAGTCTACTATCTCTAACAGTTTCTTTGTTGAGTTCTTGGGGTTTTCTGTGTACTCTATCATATCATCTGCATATAGTGATAGTTTAACCATCTCTTTGCTGATCTGGATGTCTTTTATTTGCTTCTCATCACATTTCCCTAGTAAGCACTTCCAATACAATATTGTATAGAAGTGGTAAAAGTGGGCATCTTTCTCTGATCACTTGTTTGCAAGGAAAATACTTTTAATCTTTCTCCATTGAAAATGATATTAGTTCTTGGTTTTGCATGTATACTTTTTACTATCTTGAGGAAATTCCCTTCTATTCCAGTTTTGCTGAGTGTATTTGGTAGGAAAGGGTTTTAGATTTTGTCAAATGCCTTTTCTGCATCAATTGCTAAGATCATGTGGTTCTTGTAATTTGTTTTGTTAAGATGGTGAATTACATCGATTGGGTTTTTTTTATGTTGAACCATCCTTGCATACCTGTTATGAATCCCACTTGGTCATGATGAATTTTTTTTTAATGTGCTTTTAGACTCTACATTCTACTCTCTAAGATTTTGTTAAGGATTTTTGCCTCTATATTCATGAGAGATATTGGTCTGTCATTTTCTTTCTTGGTAATATATTTGCCTTGTGTTAATATTAGGGTTATGCTTGCATCATAGAATGACTCTGAGAGTATTCTTTTTTTTCTATTTTTTTAAAATACTTTAAGTAGAATTGATGATAGATCCTCTCTGAATGTTTGGTAGAATTCAGCTGTGAATCCATATGGTCCAGGACATTTTTTGTGGGTGAGTCTTTATATAACCTGCCCAATTTCTTCTTTTGTGATGGGTCTGTTCAAGTGTTCTATATCTGTCCTTGGCAATCTGGTAGGGCATGAGTTTCAAGGAATTTGTGAATTTCTTCTAGAATTTTTAATTTATCATAGCATAGTTTTTCATAGTATTCTAATTTTATAGATTTAATTTCATCTGGTTCAGTTGTGACATCATCTTCATCATTTCTTAATTGAGTTATCTGTGTTTTTTCTTTTGTTACATTTGCAAGAGGTTTGTCAATTTTATTGAC